AAATAAATAATTTTTGTCTTTATTCGAATAGAATAATGAGTATTGAAAGTTGATATTTCATCAATAAAAATAATAAAAAACTCAAGAACGACTAGACCAATTTTAATGTTTTTGTCTTTTTGTATTTGTATTCGTCGGGAATAGAATAGTAAGTATTGAAAATTGATATTTTATGAATAAAAGTAATAATAAAAGAACTCGAAAACAGCTGGACCACTTTTTATGTTTTTTGTGTTTATGGATTTGTCTTCTTCGTGTATAGGATAATAGTATTAAATATAAATCATTAATAAAAACAATAATAATAAAAATAATAATAATAACGGCAAGTATCGGCACAAACTTCGACAGATCTGGTCATCGGAACTGTCGGGGAAGAACAAAGTTGCTGCAATAAATATGCTTACCGTTCCAATCTTACTCTACTCGTTTGGAGAAGTGAAGTGGACTTTGGAGGAGCTGTATCAACTCGACGTAAAGACCAGAAAAGTGATGCATCTCTATAGGAGTTCACCTCCCAAATCGTCCGTCCCGCGGTTGTACTTCCCTCGACAACAGGGAGGATGTGGACTTTTGAGTTTGGAGTGTCTACATGACAGAATGGTACTGGATACAGCCTGTAAAGTCGTCAAGAGTTCGGATCCCCTTCTCTGCATGGTCCGTAATTGGAGCATTTCTCTTCAGTGCAGCTGCCCGAGCAGCTGATGAAGTCGGTTTAGTGATCGACACTGAATGAGCTGACCACAACTCTGTCAACGAGTTGGAACCCGTTCAGCGAAAAGCTCATATAAAAGCCACAGAGATCACCTCACTGCTGCGGAAACACAAGGATGGGGTCTTCTTCAATAACATTGGAGACCTTGGCTTATCAAAGCGCCTGACGTTCTCTTTTCTCAGGTCAAGTGGGCTTAAGTCGGAAACTGAGGGGTTCATCATGGCTTGACAGGATGGTGTCTTCAACACCTTAGTCTACCGCAGTCGCTTAATGGGTATAGAGGTTTCTGACTCAAGGTGTAGGGCCTGCCGCGAGGCGCCCGAGACCCTATTGCACTTGCTATCGGTATATCCAGCATAAGCGGTCTCGGCCTATATCCATCGATAAAACGCGGCCCTAAGAGTGCTATATTACCATACACGGCACTCATACGGTAGTGACGAGATACCGGTGTTGCCTCACGCTACGGAGAATATTGAATCCGTTGTAAGGAACGAGAAGTCCTGAATTTATTGACACTATTTTTTTCCCACCCTCACGATCATACAAGCTCATAAGCCTGATGTAGTCCTTCTCGACCACCAGATCAAGACAATATTTGTCATATAGTTTCCAGCTACTGGCGAGACGAATATCGTCAGAAAAGAGAAGGAAAAACGGGGAAAATATCGGGATTTTCTCTTTGAACTCCGCAGACTCTATCCAGATTACTCTGTCAAGATGATTATTCTAATTATTGAATTCTTTGGTGGAATGGTGTCATCTCTACTCTCGAATCTCAAAATCATACCGGCGTGCCGCACTAAGGCAGAAATCTCAGCCGCACAGATACAGAAGGCTGTCATTTTTGGCTCACTGCGCTTACTTGAGGCACATGATTGTCGGACCCAATGATCACTTACCCCACGGTGTGGAGAGTGGTCATTAATTGATAATGCTGGCGCGCCCTCCCGAATGTATCGGGGCTTCGGGGGATAGGGCCTGACCCGCGCACACTACGGTGAAAAAAAAATAATAAAATCATTCAAGAATGGCTAGACCAGTTATTATGATTTTTGTGTTTTTGGATATGTCTCCATTGACAGCCTTATTAGAAAAACAGTTGAAGAGAGAAGTTCCTCTTCCCAAAATACAGGAGTGAAACACATATATCACAAAATTCCATTTGTAGAAAAATGTTCTGATTAACTTGGAATGCTACTCAGTACCGAATAAATTGAAGTAGCCTTCTCAAACAAACATATAGTTAGAAAGCATTTTTCTCGAAACAAAGCAACACGTACATATTGATTTTGTTTGTACAAAATGTACATATCTACTACTCGGCCCATAATAAAGAAACGTTCGTTACTCCAATCATCAAAATCGACTCAGGAGATAAGGTAGGCACTGTATGTGAAATATACTTGAATAAAAACATACTCGTAGACAGATACCATCATAACTCTTCCTTTTGGCTTTGTTTGCAGCAAGCTAATAACAATAACTCAAATGATACCTGTCAGTGATTGCCTCAACTGAAAACTAGAAAAAACATTTTCTGAATCACGTACAGTAGGTGCATTATTATTCATCAGTTTTTTTAGAATTAAAATGAAACGAGAGATTGAGGCGATACATGTCACTTCAGTCAGTCATAACAATTTCATTTTTCAATGCAGAAAAATGACAAGAACTTGTAAGCTAGTCGCATCTATAAAGTATGCATGAAAACTGATAGTGGTGAATTTATTTACGACGAATATACAGGGTATTCCTTAAACACATGCTAATATTTAAGGAGGTAATTCTTAGACCCATAGTTTTCAAAAATAATCAGTTTTTTAATAATAACTGAGATAATTTTGTAGACATCTTTGGCATATTTGGTACATATGTTCCATGCCTCAAGGCGCACTTTCTGATGTACAATTTTCCTAATTTTCTCTGCCAGTGGCGTACGTACGAGTTTTGAAATGTATATTTTTGGCGAAAAAAATACTACGCCACTGCTTTATCTTGAATTAAAAATTATTTTTAAAATCTCCATACATTTTTGAGCACATTTGATTTGCTGGGTTTTCTTTGTCCGA